GGGTTCGAACTGCCAATCTTTCAGTTAGCAGCTGAGTGCTTTAACCACTGCACCGCCACCAGGGCTCTTCAACCTGATTACCAAATCAAAAAACTAAACCCATTGCCGTCGAGTTAATTTAGACTCATAGCAGCCCTAGGACAGGGCAGAACTGCCCCACAGGGTTTCCAAGGGGTGGCTGGTGGATTCGAACTACCAGCCTCTCCGTTAGCAGCCGAGCTCTTAACCACTTCGCCACCAGGGCTCCAAACCCCCATTAGTGCCAAGAGAAACGTACTCTGTAATGCAGTAACTTCAAGTGGGATTGAGAAAACAAGCCAAGAGTCTTAACTACTAATGGAATCAGGTGTTCTATTTTTTTCTAGGGCTGCCAATCAAAGATAAAAGGCCAATCCCTCCTCGATACCAGTTCAGCAGCAGACTAAGGCTCTTTTGACTGCCAAGACCTTCCTCATAACTACTGGCCTTTGGGGAGAGCCACTACCTAGAAAACACAAGGAAGAGGAGTCAGACAAGCTCCAAAGCAATTCAGTCGTATCTCCTCACATTGCCTCATTTTAGCATCAACTAGAGCAGCTTCTTGACGAACAAGCCATGAGGTAGAGAGCCAAAGTGAGAGAATCAGGAAGAAAGGAAAGGGAAACAACTGGAGACATGGTGGGCAGGGCATGACGGTAACCGGGACTTGAGCCCTGTGGACTGCTGACTACCCTGACAACACTCCTAGAGGGCCTGAAGTCACGACATCCAAGTGGGAGGGGCTCAGGAAGAGCTAAGGAGCCCAGGGAGCCTTCGTACAGAAGGAACGGGGACAGGTCTGCGTAGCTGGGACAGCGTGATTTCTCTCGGTTGTCCCCTCCCTTTCCCCACAATGAATCCTACCTACCCTCTCCCTCTTGGGGGTGTGTGTGCCCATTCCACACACTACCAACAATGATGACGAGCAGGAAAGAGAACTAACATATAATGAAAATTCCCTATATGGGAAGTATTAAGTTAGATACCTCATATTTAAATTGAAACTAAATGTGATATTGACCTACAGGGGTCAGGGGTCAAGGTTCAAGGTTAAGGGGCAATTATTTTGGGGTGCTGACAATTTAAACAAATTTTATCAAATCATCACAATTTCAGTACTAAATCAATCAGTCGTCTTAACGATAGAAAGAAAGAAAAAGTGAACAAACAAGGCTCTTTTGCACTTCAGGGTCTTGACACGTTTCCTCGACCTGGAACGGTACTTTTCATATCCTTCAAGTCCCAGCTTAGATGTCCCAATTTTGAAAGGGTGTCTTCTGAGTCCCTTATATAAAGCAGTGCCCTCCTGCCCCATCCCTGCCTCATCCCCTCAGGATTTACAGTCACGTGAGGGTTAATGTGCTTGTCGCTTGCCTCCTCCACTAGACTCAGTTCCATCAGGATAGCCGCCGCTCCCATCTCTTCCACCACTGCAACCTCAGCACAAGAACAAGATTTAAGAGTCACACGAAGTCCTCCTGTACGCCATAGTTACAACTATCAGAAGGACGGAAAAGAAAAAAAAAAGAACCAAAAGCAACACACTCTAAACTTCAAAAAAGACTTAAAAAAAAAAAAAGCACAAAAGTGAACACTGTTCAGTGACTCCTATGACAGCGCTGGTAAATGGGCCCAAAGAACAAAAGTAAAAAAAAAAAGCAGAGCAATAAAGCTAATGAGAGAGATGATATCCATTCTACACTCCCTCTGTGATTCACATTTTATAACATTTTTTCACTGCATTAGTACACCAAAATTTTTACTCTGGAAGAAGGGGTAGGTTAAGAGGTTGGTAACAAAAATAATATTAAGTTATCAAGATGATCAATGCAAAATTTGCCTGTCAAATAGAATTTCTGCTGAGTGATTTCAGCAAATGATCACTCACTTTAATCTAGTTTTTGATTTTTACTTATTCCATTACAAGACAGGAATTCATCTTTTGGAAGGATGACTTCTTTACAATGAGCTTATTTTCAAAGTACTTTTTAAGTGGATAAGTATTGTGATGGTTAAGATTATGTGTCAACTTGGCTGGGCCATGATTATCCATGTTTTAATGTAATCACTCCCATGATTGAATATACTGTGAGTTGCCAATCAGATGAAAGGGTGTCTGCTTGGGGGTGTGCCCCAAATCTGTATATAAGCAGACGTTCTGGCTTTTCGCTCTCTCTGGATCCTGCGGCTGCTTCCTGTCATCTCATCTCCCGTTCTTGGGACTTGAGCTGTCAGCTTATCTGCCGAACCTGGGATTCGTCGATCTGCACAGCCTGAGTGGGAGCCCTGCTCTGTGACCTTCCGATCTTGGGCTTGCCAGCTTCTGCAGCTGTGTGACTTGGAAGAGGCCTCTACACTGATCCACCGACTTGGGACGTTCTAGCCTCTACAATCGTGTGAGCTGCTTCCTTGATATAATCTCTGTCTCTCTATATATTTATACACACTTTACTGGTTTTGCTTCTCTAGAGAACCCAGCCTAAGACAAGTATTAAAACTACTTTATAGGCATATAAACAGATCAAAATATTCCTTCTGGATCAAATGGCAGGCAATATCAGGAATAAAACTAAATGTTTATGATTCAAACTTCTATTCTGGACATCTCACATATCACAGAGAAAACAACAAGAGAGTCTCAATTTAAAAAACAATAATAACAATACCAGGAACAGGTCCTCAATGCCTTAACTTTGTGTGGTGTTGTGTGACCTGGAAATGAATTCAGAAGTTGTCTAGTTTAACTTCCTGCCAGATGCAGACATGGCCAGACTCCTAATGTGAACACGTGCCCTGATGGAAAGGGCTCTACACTGTAAAGGCAGCCTATCCAATTTTTAGCAATTCTAATTTTTAAAGACAAAGAATTCCATTGTTAGAGTCCCATCCCCACTGGAAAAATGTGGATATTCAATGATTGTTTTAAAATCTAATTTCATAAGTATTATTAGACTATTTATTCATAATTTTGAAACCAGTGCTAGATAACAAGCCATAGGTCATTCCAGGCCATGTGGGGATCTTGGTTAGTTTACATCTCATTTTCCTGCTTCATAATTTTAACTGCAGGTTGATCAGGCAAGATATGGTGTCAGTTAACACTTAACTCAGCGTCATATCATATTTATGCAAGAATCAAAAAAAGGCAACGAACAGAGAATGTTCCGTTCACAGGATAAAACTCTAATGTCATTCTTTAAATGAGACCATTTGTTCTTCTCTCTTTATAAAAAGTATGCTCCATTTTAAGACTTTGAAATTAAGCTTAACATTCCACATGACCACAAACAAGTCACTCAAAATCCACGGCAGCAATTCAATTTTTAATGTTTTTTCATGCCATTTACAAATTAACAATATAATTTAAAGGTAGATATTGTTTTAAAGGCATAAAAATAAAAACAAACATAAAAGACAGGTGACAAAATACAGACAGAGGCTATCTAACAATACTTGACTTTTTTGTGAGCTTTGTGTGCATTTAAGGAGCCCTGGTGGCTCGGTGGTTAAAGCATTCAACTGCTAACCAAAAGGTCAATGGTTCGAAACCACCAGCAGCCTGTCGGAGAAAGATGCAGCAGTCTGCTTCTGTAAGGATTAACAGCCTTGGAAACTCGATGGGGTTGCTATGAGTCAGAATCGACTCAAAAGCAGTGGATTTGGTTGGTTTTGGGTTACATACATTACCTCATTTGCTTGTCCCGACAGCCGTAAGGCATATATTATTACTGTACACAATTTGTAGATGAGGAATTTACACAGAAGTGAACCTGGAAAGGATTTTAGTCACCTAGTCTAACCTACTCATCTTACAGATGAGCTACTTTTGTTGCTAATTAATGACTGTAAGCATAT